CCTAGATCAAGGCCACGGATATCATTATAGATCTTACAAAATTCCAAGAAGAGGCAATAAAGAGACATGAAGAAGTACTTGCCATGATTGATGTACTCTCCGATACCGCAAGTCCAGACAGAGCATCTATGGTATGGTAATTTTCGGTCCACTGCCTATTTTTGCCAACTGCAATCCAGACGAGCAGGGTCTATTCTCTATCTCACGATAGGTATGTGTCCCCCAATCCTGCAATAACATCATTGAGACTTTGAAAGCTCCAAATCAATTTCAATGCTGCCATCAGAGCCAAAGATATTTCATGGCCGTGAATCAGAATTGTCTGACATCCTGCAGTTGTTCAGGATGAAAGCTCCCAGGATAGCTGTTTTAGGCACCGGTGGGATGGGGAAAACTAGTCTTGCCAGGGCAGCCCTCCATCATCCAGAAACCACTGCCAAGTATACACAACATCGATATTTTGTTGCTTGTGACTCCGCAGCAAACAAGGTCGAACTTGCAGCACTCATTGGAGCCCATCTAGGACTCAGGCATAGCAAGGACCTTACTCGAGCAGTTGTCGGATTCCTTGTCACAGCCTCCCCTAGCCTGTTGATTCTTGATAATCTGGAGACAGTCTGGGAGCCTACAGAGATGCGTGGTGATATTGAAGAATTTCTATCCCTCCTCACAGATGTTAAAGACCTGGCACTGATTGTGAGTGTCAGTGTTTCATTTCTTTGACTTGGCTCATGCAACACAGATTACCATGCGTGGAGCTGAAAGGCCAAGTAAAGTACACTGGACACGGCCCTTTCTTCTTCCTTTGCATCCCTTGGATAAAAATGCTGCTCATCAGACATTCATTGATATTGCGGAGGACCATCATAATGCAGAAGAGGTGGACAAGATTCTCTCACTGACAGACAACATGCCTCTTGCAATCAATCTCATTGCCCATTTGGTGGATGTAGAGGGATGTTCCAGTGTATTGTCCCGCTGGGAGGCAGAGAGAACCTCTGTGATTTCAGAGGGTTATGACAAAAAGTCCAACTTGGATGTGTCAATTTCACTCTCCTTGTCTAGCCCTAGGATCAATGCTGTCCCTCATGCACAACAGTTATTAAGTCTCTTGTCAATGCTTCCAGATGGTCTTTCAGATGTTGAGCTCCTCCAGAGCAAGCTCCCAATTGAAGACATCTGGAATTGCAAAACAACATTGATTCGAACTGCTTTAGCCTTTCTGGATGAAAAAAAGCGACTAAAAACATTGCTACCCATCAGGCAATATATGCAGAAAACTCACCCACCTAGAAATGAGCTTATCAAGCCCCTTTTCAAACATTTCCATGAGCTGCTTGAATTGCACAAGGACTTCTCTGGAACTGAAATGAATTCAGCCACAGTTGGGCAAATATCGTCAAATTTGGCCAATGTCAAAAGTTTACTCCGCAATGGACTCCAAAAAGACCACCCAGACTTCACAGATAATGTTTTTAGTGCCTTGTATCTGAATCACTTCAGCCGAACAACTGGCCGAGGGACAATTTCTTTGCTTGGCTCGCTCCATAAAATTCTTCCATACTCACGTGACCATCGGCTTGAGGTCTACTTTATTACCGAGTTACTTTTCTCAGATATCTCTGCATCAATCTACGATTCACAAACACTTGTGGCTCGGGCATTAGAACATTGTGAGTACTTTGATGATCCAGATCTTAAATGTAGGCCCACCTTTTATATCTTGTACATGAAGACTGACTTCAGTGGTTTCAAGGTAAATTCTACATTAGTCTTGCACACTATTATGCAGCCCATAGTCCCACTTTTTCTGATGTCATGCACTTTTGTCATCTGGCTATATTGTTGGCAACTACATCAGGCAACACAAAAAGACATTCCCAAGCATTACAACAGCTTGCACGGATTGAGTGCAGGCTTGGTAACTATCTTCCAGCCAGACAACATGCATGTGAGGCACAGAGGTTGGCCAGGCTTTCTGTCAATTTACTCACTAAAGCACATGCACTCTACTGGGAAGCAATGGCCTGGATCGAACTTGGTAACTACCAAGAAAGCATCTCTCTCTGTGATAGAGCAAGGGAGCTCCTGGTCCTTTGTGGTATGTCCAGTGGGGTCATAGACCACCAAATTATGAACCTCCAGGCACAGATTCACTTGTTGAAGTCAGAATACTGCGAGGCACACAATATTCAAACTCAGATTATTCAAGAATGCCCACTTCACCGGGAGTCTTATCAGCATGGCTCTGCTTTGCTGGAGCTCACATTGATTAGCTTGTCTATGAATGCTCCCAAACATGCAGTGGAACAGGATATTGAGAGAGTCAAGGAAATATTTCTCCCCATGGAACCAATTGCGGAGATCACAATGTGTGATGCCATAATGGCGGATCTCTACCTGAGAGAGGGAGACATTCCGGCAGCAGAGGCACTTTTCAAACAATGTCTTCAGCTCCCACCCACTTAGAAGTCAAATCCTTCTGTTTGGAACAACTTGGTAACACTGGATGCTGGGGTGCAATTGGTTCAATGTCCAGTTGGACAACAGCTTACCTTGCACATTCTCTCAAATTCAAAGAGAAGTTAGGAATCCACAAAGCCCTCCAGTTTCTGGGAGACATCTTCCTTATTCAGGGGGATGAGGACACAGCTGCCAGTCTATTCACAATTGCGCTAGAGGGATTTGAATACATGGATGTCCATCGCAGCAAAGGTGAATGCATGCTCCGACTTGGTGACATTCACAAAGGACATGGTGCTCTGCTGAAGGCAGTAAAATTTTGGGATGCAGCAAGGCCACTCTTTGAAAGATCATCACAGACTAAACAGATGCAAGGCATTGATGAAAGACTGGCAAGCATTGGCAAAGATATACTAGAGCAGCACAGAAGGAATTAGCCTGCCTCGCACAGATCAATGCATCCACTGGAGTTTGTGGAAGAGGCAGAGGATGATATATGATATTGAGGACCTGCAGGAGGATCTGGTTGGTGTAGTCGTGGTTTAGAATTCCAGCGAGCTATGCAGAATTGGTGAAGTAGTTTTCCATCTCTATGGTTGCTCTGCATGCAGCACATGTATCTGATCTGAAGGTTGGCCAGGCACTGTTGTATTGATTGATTCTGAAAGAAATTGGGAAGCAGGGTTCGGACCCGAATCGAACGGGTAACTGCTACGTATAATTCCCCTGACAGCTCTGATAAGGTGCAGGCGCGGACCATCCGCTACGGAGCCGACAGCCATCCATGTAGCTGGTCAATACACCCTCCCAAATGTCTTGCGGTAGACTTAAACTCTGGTTCATTGCTATCAAAAAAGCTTCGTCTTCGCTGTGATACATTCAATACTAGAGTATTATTCATTATGGTGACTGCCTTGGATTCCGAGACATCATAGCTGATTCAGACCCCATGGCAAAAGAATTGATTGATATTATAGTTCCTGCTTACCGCTACTGGGGATACTCCGAACAAGACATACAATCAGACTGGTTTATTTAACCTCTCTGCAGACATTTCTCCCTTGCCCCAAATTATTTGCCATTCAACTAAACTGTCCAACAAATCGAAAGAAGTTTCCGGGGATACACTCCGACCAGGGCCAAATTACAACTTCCCCTCCTTGGCCAGCTCTCTAAATGTCTCGATCCCCTTGTCCATCGCTTTCCCAATGATCGCGTTCAGCTCCTTGGCGCTGGGCTTCGGCTTGTCCGCAGGGACCCCGGGAACTAGGGAATGAATCAGTCGACTGAAACCAAGCAGATTACCCGTGGACGAATTCCAGAAGTGTACTCACGTCCGTTGCCAAAGCTGTAAGTGAGCAGCAGCTCGTCTTCGGCACCGTAGGAGACAATGTTCGTGATGCGGAGGCCGGTGCTCATCTCCATGTACATCTGTTCCAAGCGCGTGAGGACCGCTGCGCTGAGCCCTGGCAGAGAGAACGCACAATGGTCGGGGCATACCCCTCGCTCTCCTCCGTGAAAGTGTTGGGCCCCATAGTTAATTCGCGCGTCATCTACGCCGTCCCCGGTCAACATCTACCTCAAAATGCCTAGTCGACACACCTTATCCCCATTATCGACAATGGTCTTGCTTGCAGATAGCATCGCTACGAAGGCCTGATCGTCCGTCGGTAAGGACGAAAAACGGGTGGGTCAGAGAAGCACTACGCACAGTCGGGTTACGCAATTTATATTCAAGCCCTTTCCAGAGCTGCTCCTCCGTGAGAACAGGCAGTGCCCCCAAAGGGTTCACGGGGCGGGTAATCGCGAATGAGTGGCCCATTCTTTTGAAAGCTTGAGAAAATGCCAGTGTGTGATGTTGGGGAACTTGGATTATGGGGACCCTTGGTTAGTTCGTGTCCGGTTTTATACGGCGGTTGGATAAAAAGGATTGAACCTTGCCGGAGGACATGACGCGGATGGCTCATTAGTTGTGCTACGTAGCACCACCGGCTTGGAGACAAAGACACTATGCATCAGCACTTGAATGTCAGCGCTGAGAAATCATGGGGTGTGCTTGGTGAGCGGGACAGGATACACTTGATGGGGCTGGGAGGCAATGCCGCGCCTGCCGCGATTTGCCGCGGCACTGACGCGTAGTGACGCGGCATTGCGTTCAAGTTGAAGCAACCAGTCGAACCCGCCGAGTGCAAATAAAAAGCAATGAAGAGTTGTACATAGAATATGCATGGCTCGGACCCGAGTCGAACGGGTGTCTCCTACGAGTTGATTTTCTTTTCAACTACCGGCACAGATGACGCAGGTGCGGACCGTCCGCCACCGAGGCGATACAAATATTTTCGTTCCTCTGAAATGTGTGAGCACTAAATTTTGTGCGCTGCTGAAAACGGAGAATTCTTCAATCACAGTCAAGTACTATCAGCCCAAGTTGAACGGCGATGGCTCCAGGTTTGACTCGATTGAGTTCCTAATGCGTGTCCACGGTGATTGGGCTTGGGAGCAAACTATCGAAAAAGAATCTCGGGTGGCGACCTCAGTGGCTCAGGCTCGGATCGAACGGGCAACTCTTGCTTTAACAGCACATTTCACGACAAAGGAAATGCAAGCAAAATGCAAGTGCGGACCATCCGCGACCGAGCCGATACCCACCGACCTTGCTTCCCTGTTACGCACCACAAACCGCACTCAACGCGGGGAATTCAATGCTGATCCAATGCATTATGCGGCATGCCGCCGCAGCACTTTATTTTCGGAGACCGTCGGAGGCTCAGCAACGTTACGATGCGGCGCACCCCAATGCAGATTGGTTCGTAATGACATTGGACATACCCGGGGGCGATGGTCCGATGTCCAGTACTAGTGGTTCGAGTGCAATTGCCTGTAACGATTCTGCGTTGGCCGAGAAGCCCGAAGTTCAGTATGCCTTTGAATGTTTAGAAATTCGCAGGCAGAAACTACCCGCTAACGGCGTTTTTACACCACCGTGGTAAGTGCTACATGATCATCTGCTATGTTCAAACCAGGCACTTTTGAACGCATCAACGCCGCTCGGGCCGATCGCTCGCCCGAGGAATTTACACGTGCTGATCGGCGAAAAACCTCTCCTTCTGCCACCATCGTCGCCAGGCTCCGTCCGCACAGATGATATCCACAGGGAGAGCAAAGCCACGGGCTGGCATCGAGTGCGTTGCAACCCAATCTACAGAGAGTCAGAAACTAATGACCTTATCAGCGACCCATCGCACCACTTGGCCGCGCTTGCGCCCTTCCCGCCCGATTCGCCGCCCACGCGCCTCTCATCCACCCTCTCTCCCCCCCTGCCTTCTACACCAACGAAGTCCAACGCCCGCTCCAACGGCAAGCAGAAGGGGTCGACGAGCGGACGTGTCCATAGGGTGGGGCGGTGGTGGGGATCAAGAGGGAGGGCAAGGTGGCGCTGTTTGGGGAGCAGGGGTATGCGGTGAGTCCGCTGTTATTCTTTCTTGCTTTTGTTTTTGTTTTTGGGTTTCATTGGCCTTCCTGCCACCTTCCTTTGTTCGTCGGTCTGGAATCATCGCGATGGCGATTGCGTGGGTGGACACACACCCGCGCACCCACGAATCCACGACCTGCGCCCACACCCCTACTCCCCCTTCGCGTCTTTCGCGTCCTTCCATTTCCACCCGCGTTCCCGTCGCATTAGTTTGACTAGGGCTAGGTGCGCGGACGTCTATCCAACGGAGACCGCCAGTCGCGCGCAGGCTAGCTATATCCATGCACCATCCATGCACTCGTTCATTCCTTTCATCTCACCTTCCCTGCTCCACGTACTACATGCTATGTAGGCACATTGCCCTACGCCCGACTTCCCACTTCACGACTGCGTGTGGGCGAGTGCTGCTGCGTGCAATGCGTCCGTATACTTCGGAACAAAATGCGCGCGCCGAGGCGATGCAGTCTCCGTATTCTCCGGCGCTCTGGCGTCGTGGTGCGACCACGCCTGGTTATTCTGGTACCGTCCACGGATCCACGCGCTGCGCACACCCCGCGTGGCGTCCTCCGGCGATTTCCACCACCCCTTTCGTCCGCCTCATTACTTTCGACTTGTCCGGCGTGCGCGTTAGTCGCGAGCCGTAATCGCTGCGCGTTTGCGCGTGCACACGGCCGCTGCGCCCTACGCCCTACGCCCTCGTCCCAATTTGACTGTGGTGTGTCCGCATACCGCATATCGGAGCAACGTCGACGCGGCGTCGTCGTCCACATCCGGCGCACATCGCGAGTAGTCGAGTAGGCGCCCGTCTGTCCATGTGGTGGCGATCTCGCGCGCCTAGCATATCGTTGGGACCGGGTCGCGATTCCGGAGCGAGGGCGCTCGTGGGCGGCGGTTTCGTTCCGGAGGCGCTGGCCCTTCATCTCATTTCCTCCCTTCGCCCTCCCAGGGCGTTTTTTCCTTGGGCGGATGCGTACCGCACAACACCGGTGGGAACGCGCATGTGTGCACGCCCTGTCCGCGGCGGCGTTCCTCCGTGGCGCTTGTTTTCTCACCACTATCTTCGCTCTTCGCCTTGGCCCTCCTTCCTCCTCCACCCTTCGCCCTTTAATTTATTTCTTCAAACCCCTCCTCCCCCAATTCCAAATACTGAAATCCGTTACTTAACAGCAAACCCTCCACACCCCCGCCTTCTGGGTCGGCTACCCGCACACGCACCTCAGTGGTGTGATGAAGAGGTGATATGTGGTGCAGCGGTGGGCGGTACGTCCTTTTGTCCACTCGTTTTTCTTTTCCTCCCTTGTTCCTTTTTCTGGGGTTGATGTGATTTTCCGCGCGATGTTGTTCTTTTTCTTTGGCGGGTGATTTCTAAGTTGGGTTGGACCTGGCGGGGACGTGCGTGCGTCACTTTTCTTTTTTTTTATCTGAAGGAACGCAGCGGGGCGTGTTCTTTTTTGCTGAGAACGCAGCGGAATGGTGGCAGGAATGGCAGAGGTGGAATTGGCGAACGAGATTCCCGTACCGCGTCCCGTCTCTTTGCCTTTATTTTTCCTTCCATTTCTACTTTACCCCTGCGCCCCGCACAATCGTGCCTCGCCCGCGCGGCGCACGATCATCGTCGTCCGGTCCCACACTTCTCGCTCTTAATTCCGCCCGCGCACGCCGCTGGGCGGGCAGAATTGTATCGTACATCCCCTTCCAGGATCGACGTACTTTTTCCTGTACCTTTCGCGCGGTCGCTGCGGCGTCACTCATTCTTCTGCAATGATTAAATTTTCTGCAATGATTACATTCTTCTTCAACCGCTCTTTAATACCCCCTCTTCCACAAAACTAGCTTCACCGAACTGACATTCATTACCCCACCAGCTCCTCCTCGAAAAACGGCAAACGGCGCTCGGACTACTGAGAGTACATGGCACCATGTGGTTACAGTGTGGATGGTTAGGTGAGGCCTTTCCTCCTTCTCCGTCGTTTTTTGTAACCTTTTGGGAAGCCTGCGTGGGGCGTTACCGCACGCACGCACGTATATTCTTTGTTGGAATTGGGGAGTTTTTTTCTTTTGTTGGAAGGGGGGCGCTGCGTTCTTTTTGCGGGTTCTTTTCTTCGGAGGAGTTGTTTGGGCGGGCGGGGAGTCGGGCGGCGTTTTGGGCTGCGGCGGGTGGTGGGGACGGCACGGAGTTGCGTGGCAGGAGGCTCGTGGGCGAAGGAATCGTGGTGCGTGAATCGGTTGATTCGTCGCGGAAACTGGGTGTATTGGGGCCGGTAGGCAGCGCGTTGTAAATCTCTTACAGTGGCTCCGTGCGCCGGATTCCCAAGTGCGGGTGCGCTGCGCTGCCGCGCGAGGCATGGTTTTGACGCGGTCCCCCTGCCTTTATTTTCCTGGCAGTTCTTCACCCCTGCGCTGCGCACGATCATCCTGCGCGCGCTCCCTCGGGCCGCGCATGCCGTCCGGTTCGTTCGTTCGTTTATATGGTGGCCATCCGGCACGAGTTCCTCCTTCCTGTTTAGCACCGCCGCGTACTTCACGTCCTGTCTGAACGTCGGGAATATGTGGGGTCACTTTGCATTTTAATTCTTTCTGTCCACGCGATGCTAATTTTTTCTTCTTCCAAAGGCCCTCCTCCTCAGGTTACCGGTGTGGATGGTTAGGTGCGTTTTCGCCTTTTTCGATTCCTTCGAGGGTTGGGGTTTCTTTCCTGTTGTTGTTCGAGAGTGCGCGATGGCGGCTTTCTGCGCACGTTCGTGTTTGCGGGAGGAATTGCCTCGCGCGCTACTCCTTGGAGATCTTTGTCCATCGTGGGAGATAGCGTCAGGCATGTGTTTTCTGTTTCCACCCGTTCGTGCACCGGGGTTCTTTCTCGAGTGTGATACAGAGGTCCTCAGCGGTTTGCTTGACGGCAAAAAATGGAGTCTTCTCCCTGCCTGGCGCGCACGAGTAGTTTGCCTATCGTGCCTTTGGTACTCCCGATTTCTTCGCAGGGTGCAGTCTTTGCGCTGTCACGCGTTGGGCTTTCGAGTCATTATCCGTGCTCGGAAATGGCGCTTCTTGGGGCTTGCTGAGGTGGTGTACCTCGGCGCGGTCACAGCTCCACGCCAGCTGGGCGGGAGTCAATTTTCGTTGCGGCACTGGTCGAGGTTGATGCGGTAGGTCGGATTAGGTTTCAAAGCACACCATCAATGCGATATGGCGCATGAGCAGGGTGTTTACACTCGCGTTGCCTTTCCAGAACCTCGAGCGTCGGTATAGAAACTATGTTCACCCATACCGCACCTAGCGCATATCGTGCGTGCGCAGCAACTTCTCGTGAAGTTGGGTGGAGACTCCAGAGGCCCGTTTGACCCGGGGTGCCGATGGGACCTTCGTGCGTCGCCGAGTGAAGTAAGGCCCTTCCGTATCCGGGTATCAGACTCGGTCATACCAGCAGCAGTAGTACTAGTGTGTTCAGTTTCTCACTGCTACTTACGGGGTCTTTATCACCGTCTTTCCATCGCACCAAACGGATGAACGGGCAGGGAAGGAATGGAGGAGTGGAGGGAGACTCAGGGAGTCGCACGCAGGCAGCGACGTGCGTCAGGGCGGAAGAGTTGGCAATAATTTGAATGGAGACTGTGTTGTGCAATTCCCAATGCGCGGCGGTGGGGCAAGGCGCAGGACTGGAACAGCACTCAACCTCGACAATGCCACTAAAAGGCAAAGTGGAGAGTGTAGACGATACAGAGTACCCATATAGTCCGTTGTTTACCGCGGGGGTCCGATCAGGGTATCCGCTTATTACAAATCTTCGGAGTTTGAATTGTGACGTCATCCATTCTCACGCGACGCGCTTGCCTTTCCTCCTCCTCCTCCTCGTTCCCTCACGCGTCTATACCCTCTATTCTATGCCCTGATAACTATGGTACCCAATCCCCGCTGGCAGGATCCGATCGGACGACAAACAATTCAGACTATTGTTAAGAAACTAATCCCTAATTGGACGACAGGACTACGACCCATTCAGGAGGATCTCGTCTCGCCTATCCTTGACAGCGAAGATGTACTATGCTGCACGGCAACGGGCGACGGCAAATCGGCTGCTTTCTCTATTCCCATTCTCGTTCTAAATGAATACAATGCCAATCGACAGCTGTATCCCAGCGGCCTTCGGACGCGGCAGAACCCTGTGGGACTA